GTATCAATTTGCTTTTTGGTTTTGGAACAATAATAATTTTTAATAACAACCTAGTTGTTCTACCTAATTATATTTCTTGTTATCAAAGTTATATTCTTGTAGATTATTAGTTTTTTTTTAAATATTAATAGTTGAAGTTATAATAATTATATTACAATAAAGACTATTTAAGAAAAACGTAACTAACAACTTTTTATAATATGTAATTATAAGTATTTAACAACTATGTTGAAGTTAGTTTTTGTAGCATACAAAAAAGACCAAATAAAGTTATTCTGTTATGTGAATTTACTACTATTATTAAAACAATTATAGGTAAATTGCACACATTTAACATTTTATTTTTATTACTTATGTCACTTAAAAGTATATTTTTGAGTTTAATGCATTCGTCTTTTGTTTAACAGTTTCAATACATAGTAGATATATTAAAAATAAAAAATGAAGGGCTGCGGGAAAAAAGATCAGTGTCAATTATTGTTCATTCTGAGAAAATCATGTTTTTAATTTCAAAACGTAATACATTTTGCTTGGAGGCCTAAACTTCCGGCGGTCGTTACTCTTGACTAATCTGTTTTTTTCCCTGGTTCGAGCGCATAGTAGATACAATACGTCAACACAATTAATTTGATACCGAAATCTCATTTTTAAAAAAAAAAATTGACATTGATCTTTTTTTCCCGCAGCACTTCAAATACTTAGTCTGCATAGTTTTTATTTGCCGTCTAAACCTCGTTAGCGTAATATGGAGAATATCGTTGGAAAAAAATTCCAATATTGTTTTCAGACAAATCCCTATCCGGTAATAACTAAATCGTATGCAACAAGCTAGTTTATTTATAATTTTTTTAATTAATTTCATTGTAAATCAAATTAATTAGTGACAGTATTCTGTATTTATTATGTGGAATTCATTAAAGTTGTATTATACATTATTATTACACAAATAGGGTGGACACTTGAAATATTTTATATTAATTATCTTTTCCAGGATTTTAGTGTAATCTGTTACGGCCATAAATCATAATCTTTCGGAAGTTGATCGAAATATAAATAAACGCATTCGTTTAATTGTACATAATTATTTTCGACGTCATTTAGTATTTAATTATATTAGTCGCTAGCTGATGCACTTAAATTATAAATGCTTCATTGCAAGTGTATTTTGTTTTATGTTTTTCCTTAATCAGTATTGATTTTTGTACATGTTCATATATACCGTACAAGTACTTTTTCTGCTCGACTGACTAAAAATAATAATATACACACGAATGAGTAAATATATAAATCAATTATCAGTAAAGCACGTTTTAGCCTGTAGGTACAACTCACAGCGCGTATTAGGTTTTCATAATTTTTTTTAAATGATAGTTTTAAAAAATCCAGCACAGAACTGTAAAAATGATTATAACTGACTGACGAAATTACTTCCACGTGAATCTGTAGACGGTCAGTCAATTAAACATTATTTAAATTAAGCGTAGCTATTGTTTATTTATTGATTACCTTGCTTGTTCAATTAATCTTCTCCCCATAATACAATGAGGGAAGTAATAACAAGAGTGTAAGTTTGTGATACAATATGACAAGTACGATATAATTTAATAATTGTTGGTGTGTTTTTTTTTTTTTACGAAAATGCGTGTCCTGAGTTGACTTTACGAATTTATTTTTCTTGTCTAGTTTAGTTTTTTTATAGAATTTTTTATCGTTTGTTAAAATATTACTAAAAGTAGTTATTTTTAATTCGAGCTAAATTATATTAATGCTTTTTTTTTTATCACGTTAGTCGTCGGTTAAGAAGTAACATTACATAAACATTTTGTTAACGGGTAAGTGTTAAAAAACATATTGCTTCATATTATGATAATGTGTTCGGCTTTTGAAGTAGATCGGTGTGAGTTGAATAGTTAAGAAGTTATTATCATTTTTAGAGTCGTTTGAAAAGTAATGATAAACAAAATCATATGATTTTGCTTAGGTCTTAATATGTTTTAAAGTGAAAACAAATTAACGGTCTTCGTTGACTTGACACATTATCTAAACGGATTGATAGCATAATAACTGTTTTTCGCGTTGGCGACAAGTTGTTCTACAACCTTTTTTTTATGACTAGTATGTTTGCACATCAGCAGTTTACCAAGTTTTATTATTATTATCGTTATTTTTTTTTACGGGGGTCTAAATAAAATGTCTTCAGTCCACAGTCAGTAATCGTGTAATAAGGTTTGCACTTACAATATTTTATCGATACCAACAATTAACACTATTTTGTTTATGAAACGATGATCTGTAAGTTGTTCGCAATGTTGTACAATTATTATTATTACATAAACATAGTTTTAACCACACATAATATTATGTTGTATGACTTTCGCGGCTATCATCTGTGCGAATGATGAGGTGGTCTTGGTAGGGGTGGACTACCAGAGTATTATAAATATAATAAGGAATTTCTTTTGTATCTTTGGCGGTAAAAATAAAACCCACTTAACGTCATCGATGTGTGTACCTGTGTATTATTTTTGACAGACCCACGAAACGCCAAAACCCGACACGTCGGCGGCACTTGGACAAAATCCAACATAATTATTCTGCATCGCTTAGAAACGGCTGAACTGAATCACTGACACGGCACTAACGTCGCATGGAAATCTATAAAACCGTCATCAAAACGACAACGAGATGTCTTAATTGTTTTATATATTTATAAATATATTTGTTGTTTTCTACAGTACAATACCTATCATATGTTAAAATAATTTTGTTTTTGCCATTCGCACTTTTATAAATAGAACATGTGTTAATTATAATTATTAGATTACTGTAATGGGGTTTAAGTAAATTTGTAATATTTAACAAATATATGGTCTGATTTCATGGAATGAATACCAAGTACCACCTAGGTGGGGTTCATATCCTTTTTTCCTCATTATCAATATACATCTAAATGATACGGACAAAATTCGATTATTGCTGTAAACTTGTAACTATTTTCTTCGATTCTGTATCTTTCTCCGATTTGGAAAACATTCAAACTGCTCATCTCAGATCTATCTTGGGTTATATTTGATTAACTCCTTACCTCGCAATTGATGTACAAACTGTATACCCTCCTTTTAATATTAGATGTCGTAATTGGCTTACAGGAAAATGTATTCTTTATCAGAATGTAATAATTGTATTTTTGTCAATTTATTTTTATTAATTTTTAAATGGTCATATATTAAAACATCTCTACCCGTCCTTTCTCTTGCAGCTAACTCGATCTCGTGTTTTCAACAGCATATTTATAATTTATTGAAGCTTTCCTCTATTTTTTCTCGTCATCTAGCCATCTTCAATGTTGAGTTTTCTTAGGTGCTTTACTGCTTAGTCATGTAGGTACCCAATCTAATGAAAACGCCAACTGTTTGGCCAGGTCCTCTTCTATTTGTTTATTTTCATCTCATCGTAAGCCTCCGTCACCTGAATTTATTTCTATCTTAAGCCATCATGCCAGCAATCTTAGGACTCACAATTAAATAATTTACCTACTAATGTTGTACCCGATTTAAAAATAATAGTTATTTATAAATTCTTTAGGTACTTATGATTTCGAAACTCTAACCTAGTTGTGAAACGTTACTAAATTAATTATACAAAAAAAAAAAAAAAAATGGTAAAATATATTAAAATTTGCCTCGAAAATGGATTTTTTTTTAAGCTTTTGTTTGTTTCAAAATAATTACCAACACGTACTGTTTTTCGGCATCTATAAAAATAATATTTTGTCTTCTAAGAGTACCGCGTCTTGTTTGCATACATTGTAACACATGTATTATATATATATATATATTTTATTTTAAAAATTGATTAGCGCAGAATACTAAAAGAATCAGACGTTAGGGAGCCACAATAAGGGCTTACCAAACAGATAATTCTTCTTTCTTATTCATCAAAATAAAGAGCGTTTACCTCAAAGACCTAATGAAGGTAATAATACTTTTATTTTAACCATCATGATCATTATGAAACTCTCCTAACAAAGATGCAAAGTTAAATGAAAGCGAGTACAGAGAATATGACGTGTGCTAATGATGGTGGCTGAGGCATAAATTAATCATATGAGGATGCTGTGGTAAGACGTGGTATAAAATCTTTAGCTTACGTCACCTGTACTTAACTCGGCATTTGCTTACAAGTTCTTTAATTTGTAAGAGTTGCCCAGACGTTTTAGCACTGACGATATCATCGGACAACCCGATTGGTCGGTAAGACGTATTCCCTGTGTCACAGACGCCATGTCTATCGCCGCCTGTAACGGTTTTACAGGGTAGGCGAACGTTGGTTAAAGGCAAATTCATAGGATAATTTATATCGTCGAGGCTGAGGCAATTATTGCTATAGATAAATACTCGTATCACCTCGCCAATGATTTTTAAAAACTACAAGACTTCCATCGTTCGATCTAAGCTAACATCAATATCGTAACTCATATTTTAATCAAAGTTTAGGATCGATTATATTATTAAATTAATATTGCAAGGATTTAGAATTTTGACAAAGATTGCTTAAGCTTAAGATTTTCCGTTTAAATTAGCTGTAAGCTTTCACGCCCTATTCGTGTGTCGATTAATTTTAATTAAATACAAATACTAGATAATTTTCATGGCATAGTGTACTCCGTTAAACCAAATACAAGCGACGAAGGGTACAATCTGTAGCACATAAGAATCGTACAGGTGATGACAACAGAAGACAATACAACGGCGGAATGGCCGTCGGTGGCGCGGCGTGTGCGCGCACCCGCGGTGGCCGTCGTCGCCGTGCGTTGTCTAGTAATTGGTGGCTAGGACGACGCGGCGTCCACCGCTCAGTTGTCTCGTGGCGTTCGCCGTGTGCATAGCCGATCCTGTGATTTGTGCTCGCCGACGGAACCACCCGCGGCGTAACAATATATCACGCTCTCTTCTTTGCGTACGCGCCGTCCCGTCCAGCTGCGGCCCGGTGCGTCCGGCATGCCGGTGCGTGCGGCACCGTCGTCGCTGGTCCCGCCACTGCCGCCGACGCACCAGTCGGTGGCGGCAGAACCGCGTCTCAGCCGATGCGTCCGCAGGTTTTTTGCGCACCTGTTCAGCAACTTGGGACTGTTCGGTCTTGTAGCCGGCTACGTGATAGTCGGTGCGTTCGTGTTCCGGTTCCTGGAAGCGGGCAACGAACGACAACAGCGGGACCGCATAGGCCGCCTAAAAAACGACTGTTTGGGAGAACTCTGGAACATAACAGGTACCGTCGAGAACACAGTTATGTTACCATACATTAATTATCGTGTACCATGAACAGAGATAGGCAAAACATATCAAAGAATCCAATGGTCCAAGTATACAAGTATTAATTATGTTAAATTGATCGATTGTCTAAATTGTCATTAGCGATGACATTGTCAATGTAAATATAATTTATACATAATAATAAGACCAAGACGTGATTTTATGTTTTTATCTAACAAAAAAAATCGTCAATAAAAGTTTAATTTTCATTCAAGATCTCGTGACTTGTATCGATGTCCATCTCTGAATTCGATAGAACTAATTAGCAGTGTACTATAATATTACTGTAACACGTTTTAACCGGCGTCAGTTGTCACAACATTATATTGTATCTTTCATCCATTTTTGACACATGATACATGATAACCGAACAATTACAATCAAACATTTAAAATATAACATGAGAATCAAATCATACTTCATTATTACATTTGTTTAAATAGGATAGACCGAATTACCCAAGTGTTGTAGGCTAAAATAATTACCCATTTAACGATGTTCATTACCTTATGCTTCGCTCTGATCAAGTTAAAGAAGTACCGGTGTGTAAAGTGGTGAACTCGCCCAAGTATTTCTTGAATATAATATAATATGGAAAAAATGAGTTTTTCAAGAGTTTTAGAATTTTTATCATAGTTTTGTGTCACGGGTGTTTCACGCCAATTAAAAATAACAAACTAAATTTTAACGCACTATTTTCTATACATCTTATATTTTGTTCTAATATACCTCATAACGTCTCTTTTTCGCGATCGAGGGTACTTGCCAAGACAAACGGCAACTCGATATAGCAACGCCCAGACCGTTTGTAACGTTGCGCTAAATACATGTATCACTACGCCTAGTTGTAATGAACGATTCTAAAAAAATCAACATTTAATACACTACCACCGCGTATCGTCGTCGGAAATTACAAAATTGTTTTTCTATTTGGGTAGGCGTTTCCCGGGGTAAATGCATACAACAATATTTCACTGGAGTACCTACGTGAAGGAAAAAAAATTAGTTGTCAACTATTAAATTTATAGACGTTCGAGATTTCTACCGCACCAACAGGCAATGTTGTTCGACGTTTTCTTATGAAAATAAATAGTAAGATATCGATAAAAAAAAAGTGTGCGAGATTTACACAGCATCAACATATTTATTATAGTACACAGATTCATTTGATCGAAAAGCACAGGTTGGAAAAATCAAAAAAACGGTCCATTCAATATTATAAAACAGTGTTTGTTTTTATGAATAATTTTCGTTTTAAGCGCTCCTCTTAGATAAAGACTTTTTATACCTCATAAAAAAGCATTTGTTAATGTAAATGAAATAAGTTACCAAAAAGTCATGAAATAAAATCGAGAATGTACGAATAGTAAAGTAACGGAAAAATAATGCAATTGTAAGTTTGAATTTCAATGTTAATTGTATTTTATAACAGCCGCAGACTATTCATTAACTAAAAGCGATAAGTCAACATAACGAATACAAACTATATTATGTGAAAACTTCTTTGAACTGTTTGATCCCAAAGAAGCCAAGCTATATGTTAAAGGCGGGCGACCGCTAGTATTCAAAGCAAGCACGACGAGTCCGGTGGTTCTTACAATTGTTTGAAAACTTAAAATTATATTTCTTAGACTCGAAACTGTTGTTTTTTTTTTTTGCAAGAGTTTACTGCTGCGCATTTCACTAAAGCACTTAAAAACGTATGGACGTTTTAGAAGCTGAGAAGACATTCATTTTGAATAGAAAATGTGATATAACAGCTTGTGTCGATGAACTTCCTTTTTTATCTATTATAGTGTATATCGTATGAGTTGGGATTAAATGTAGTCCATCTAAATACAAAATGTGTTCTATATTATTACATGCTTATTATTTTTCATGGCATTATATATTTCTTTGGTAAGCAAATTATTACTATTTGAACTATTATCGTTTGTCACTGTATATCGGCTTTGTTATACGAAAAGGATTTTCACGTTTCATAATACAGTTGGTATGCATTGAAATAATTGTATAAGCTATACATTCTATGATACATATTACATACATTACATTCTATGACTATTCTGTTCCTACGGTTGTATGCAGTCGTCGATTCGTATTTAGTTAATGCGAATTAACGAATAAGTAAAACATTTTATCTATTCAGTTGTAAATTGGTCCTTACATCGAATTTTAATTTTAATGATAATATTGTTAATTATTTGCACGATGACTGTTCGCGGGCGGCAATATTGCCGTTTGATATATATTTTTGGTAAATTAGTTATTTATTCGATGCGTATTGCTTAAGGAAATTTGATATAAGGTTAGCGCCGTCGCAGGATAATTTCAAATATATTTATACCATAAGTTTATTGAAAACATTTATATAGATATAATATATTTGTAAAGCAATAAACAACCAACACACAAGCGTATTGGACCATACACGTTATTGATTTCCGTTCTCAACGATAGTTATTGTTTTTTAAACTGCAATTTATTCGTACGAATGGCATTTTGTAAAGTTTTTTTAAACATCATGTCTGTCTATAGGGACCAATTAAAGTCGCTATGACTTGTAATGGTGTTCATTTTATTGCAAAAATTTAGATGGCTGCAAACGCGTTTTTATGGGCATAAACTTTTTTTTCAAGCAAAACAACTTTATAGTTAATGTTAAAAATTAACTTCGTACATTATCTAATAATAGTCCATAATACATTGTGTTTTTATATAATAATTTATGGATCAATAGTATGTTGGCACAAACAAGTTTGTTGCCTTTAAGATTTATACGTTTTAGTTGTTCTAAGTCAGTCTACAGTTCAGTGGTTTTTCTAATGGTTATTAGAATACAGTTAGTTAAACGCCTTTAAATACCCCATTTGTATTATAATGTATTCATTGATATTATTATTAAGTAGCCGAACAGTAGTAAAATTGTACGTCTGAATGTAGGTATTATAAAGGGCAGTTTTTGGGATTTATCCAAAAAGGATGTCCCTTTGTGAAAAAAACGGATGAAAAGGTTTTTTTTAAATACATCTTCAATTTTGAAGCCATGTTTGTATGACTACGACGACAAGTTTACTGTAGGGTCGTTTCAATTGAGTAGACAAACCGTTTATTTTTTTCTAGAATAATAATGAAGTGTTATTATGTTTGTACGGTGTACAACGATACATCTATGTTGCCAATGTATGTACATTTATTTCATTAATAAATCTATTAATTTAAAGCTGTACGGAAATAGAATAATATATGTTATTATTCAAAGCTGTACTGAAATTAAATTAAACCGCTTTTATTATTAAACATTTCAGTGGTGTGGTCCATAAATGAAAATGAACATTTTTACGTTATGCTTTAATCCTAACATCGTTGCAAACATCGTTCGCTGGGAGGGTGTAATATAAATTTCGAACATTGTACACAATATAGTTGTAAGAGAACGTAAACTATAGTACAACAAGAATAACCAACCATATAAAGACAAAGAAATTAAGTTGGCACAAGTACTTTCTAGTTAATTACAATAATTGTAATTGAATTACACGCGTAATATATTTGGTCGTGAATTTTTAATCCAAAAAATTAAAAAAAACGAACAACATAAAAAGGCCAACGGTTAGGTAGTTTAGGGAAATATTATATAGGGGAAAAAAATAAATTATAGAATGACTTTATACGCTTTACTCTTACGGTGTATTGTATAATTTAATAACGTTTTTTTCATACCTGGGACTTCATTAAAACGCCGTGCTGCGGTTATCACATAATGTTATTACACGAAGTTTATATGTTTTTTTTGAGATTAACATTGCGTACATATTCATCGGGCAAAGTTTTAAGTAGGGAAAAAAAGGAAGCTCGTCGTTTATAAAATATTCACCGTCGTCGATACAGACGGGAGTTGTCTGACCTTCGACGGATGTTTTTCCAAGACGTACATATACGTATGTTTTCGAGTAGTACTACTACTTAGATATTATAATACCCGTTTCTCCTGGAAAAAAATACCGAAAATTCTAAGAATTCTGTTTTCGACGTTAAATTAAGTTTCCCGGTAAGGTTGAACTTTCGGAATTTGCATCACAACAACAGACTTCAACAGAGGACTTCGTCGTTGAACGGGCAGAAATCAAAACACAGCGATGAAATTTTCTGGAATTGTTGCAAGATATAAAATGTATATTGTGACGTTGTTTTTTGACACTGGGTTTACATTAATAAACGACTTATATAAAATGAGAGACAAATATTTATAAATATCTATATATGAACAATTATTATTCTGTAAAGTTTTGTTGTGTTTAATAGTTTTAAGTAAAAAAAATGAAACTTGTGCACAATGCTTAGGGCGTGGGAACATGTATATTCTTTACACCGGGTTTCACGAACAGTGTACGCGAAATAATATATTACGGGTTATAAAGCTAAGAGTATCACTATATATTTGTTCTGACAAATGAATAATCTCCACCCAATAAATCTAGACGTGTTAATAGTGGTCCCAGCATGAGTTACACCGTTTTGTCGAACGCTTAAATCAATGCGACTTACTCAGATATTGTCTACATAAGAAAGCACCGACAAAACACAAGACTCGTACACATTTTTCAGTATTATAAACATAAAATAAGGAGCACCCTTTTCGTATGACAGTTATTAGATCACTGTCAAACGATTCGATGCCGTTTTGTTATGTTGCGATGTTACCTACAGATTTGCAGCATATATTACATATATGCTTTCTGTTCTGCGCTTGGTTGATACCATACTGGTTTTTATACTATGATTTTTTCTTCATAAATCGGTTGGCTTTTGCATGGCCGAAGAGTGATCAACGAAACATGCAATCCTGTCGGTTGACGGAAATCGAAATGACTACCTACTTTAATTGCGTGGAAAAATTATTCCGCGGTATACTCCGTCGCGAAGATTGCACATAAGAAAATTATTTGGAAAATA